CATTGGCAGATCTGCTTTGGACAAGACTGAGCTTGACAGCTTTTACTGTGTGCATCTGGGTTTTCTTGGGGGGGGGGGGGTAGCGAGGGAGAAGTGGGTTTTAAGAGCTACTTAAGAATGTTGCATTATAATAATCCAAATTTTAAATTATCTATCTAGCTATGACATTGAAGATATTAAAAAAGCTGGCATGCAACCCAGTAAGCTGTTTTGTCTGTGCCTGTTGTGCCCAAAACAGTTTAAACAAATGCAGAACTGTTGCAGAGCATGCAGTGCTCTCAAACATCTGATATAATCATTCAGCTCCAGGTAAAGATGATGACTTAAAGGTTACAAGATCAGTGTTAGATATGGATGACATGGATGATAGGGATTGGGAAGGAGGAGGTAAAAATTTTAAAATCAAAGAAATATGCAAGGTAATTTTTTTATTTCATCTTAGGATATTAAAATTGAGGATTGGTGTGGCTTGATCTTTTTCTTTAATTTTAAAAGCCTCAACTTGGTATAAAGCCTATGGAAACTTTGGACAGAGTCTCTTCCTGTCGGCTTTGCCTTTAACTCTCATCCAGCCCCATCACTTGGCCTTTCTCATGCCAGGAGGTGGTGGGAATGTCACCTGTAGTGTTGAAGTGAGCTCTGTAAAGCTGGGATTTGAAAATGTGGGTGTTTAGCACATGAAATTACGTCTATTCGTATTAGCCTATAACATGACAAGAAATTCTTAGACTAATCTCCTAGCAATCTGCTGTTTCATTAAGGATGGTTAGTTCAGTTATCTCTTCTTTATTAATTTATCCAATTACATTAATCAACTTATGAATAGAAAAGGTAACCAGGACTTTTTTTTTTTAATATTTTCAGGAAAAAGGGAATCTAGACTAAAACCATAATTCTGCTTGCTAAGAAACCCTTTTGTGCAACAAAATATTGGCTCTTAGGACATTTGCTTACCCTGACATGAAAGAAACCCCAGAAGAAGATTATTTCATTTATCTCTCAAAAATCTATATAGTTTTTAAATAGAATGCAAGTTAGCTTCAGAGACTTAGCGGCAAATAGCAAGTTGGGGATATCCAGGGTCACAAAATCATGAGTTTCCAATTTCTGTATTGTCCAATTAGTGTGATGGCTCTTTAAGGCCAAAATATACAAAAAAGGGATAGATTATAATTTTGTTTGTGGACCATTATTTATCACTGCTGCTTTTGATGATCTGCATTAATGAAAAGAATATTTAAGAAACCATACAGAAAGCTAACCCAATTCTCTTTTAATGCATTAGGTAATTAAATCTTTATTGAGATGTGAGAGCTGTGCAACCACAAAAGAAATGAAAACAAAATAAAACCAGGAGTGATCGTATCTTTATATCTAGACACATATTGGGAAAAATCTGTGCATAGAAAAAAAATGTGCAGTCTGTCATGTGTCAGGTCACATAAAAGATTCTGACTATCCCACAGGTCTGTCCTGAAAATATTAATGCATGTAGTAGGATTATGGAAGTGAATGGCTCCTTTACGTACATTAAGATTTCTCTCCTATGCAGCTTAAGACGTACACACCTGCAAAATTAAAGCCTGTATATTCAAGTTTCTTTTAGCCACTATGAGAACAAGAAAATTAATGGAGCTAAATTTTGTGCAAATAATTTGGGACTTTTCAGGGCATTTTCAGTGGACGTTGCCGGGTTCCAATTGGATTTTGTAATGCTGTGTTTTGAGGATAGCCAAGCTGTGGTTCAGGAGACTCGTGTGATTCACAGGTGGTTCAGGTTGTGGCTGGAGCACGTGAACAGCCTCATCCCACGGCCATCAGTGGGAATCTGCAGCTCTGTCTCCCTCAACACCTTCACCATAACTTCTGCCCCTAGGAAGATCTCAGGAAGTGTTTCAGGTGCAGAAATTCTAGCTTTCATGTTTTAAGACTGGGTTTTACTGGTATGCATACATGAATGTGCCCTACCAAGTAACCTGTGCTTACAAATGTGTAACATCTCACCACTGGTTCTGCTGATTTGCACCAGACTATGTGGACTATTTACCCCCTTCACACTGAATAACATATCCAGAATGGAAAAATGCAAAATTGTTATTTTTGTCACAGAAGTGTAATGTATGATAAATGTTTGGATAATGGTTCTATAGCTCATTATGTAGAGACAACCTCACAATAATATTACCTCAGTAATAATTTTTTACAGTTTTGAAGCTTATAGAATAGCAGTTTTTCCTTTTACTGCCCTAGGAGTTCACTGAGAAATGGGGGAAACCCCCCCTATCCAGAATACAAGTTATCTTGTATTTTTGCTAACGTATATAATTACTGATGTGGGTGTTCCCACATCTTAGAATGGAAAAAGTACTTGCCAAGATTGAAAAACCATAGTAAGCAATATAAATGATTTCTTTTGCACACCAGGATTTCTTGCTGAGACAAGTGAACTGGAACTGTGTTTAAAACCATATAATTATACTCCTATATATCATTTATTAAATCAGATTTCCCCCACCCTCTTTTCTTTCAAGTCATTTCTGAAAGTGCTTTTCTTCCAGAAGGCCTGTTAGCTGGGGTCCTCCCCTTTGAAGAACTCTTTCCAAACAATGGAAATGAATTAAAATGGAAACAGCTCATCAAGACCCATGTGCCATGCTGTCCCTATACCATCATTATTGCTCTTTGCTTGAATCTTTGTTCTAGCTCTAGTGCCACTGAAGTCTGCTTGGGCCAGACGTGAGCTGTTGAGATGAACCCAGATATCCATGGATTGTACAGAACATTTTGATTATCCAGCCTGTTTCCTCCATGACACAGTTTCATTTGTCCATTCCCTGGTCAGGGCCAGGACTGCCTCTTCAGATAGTCCATGGGCTGTAGAAAGATGTTTATGGATTTCCTAATTTCATGCTTATTTCTCTGCTGTTTAAAATATAAAGGAGCTGACCCACTGTTTTCACACCCATGCAATAGAAGGACTAATGAACGATTTTTTTCTAAGTACACAGATTGTGTATGCAAAGGTCCAGTACGCAAATCCTGACTTGTTTGTGCCTCAGGTTGTGCATACAAAAAGCTGTTTAACTTTGAGCCAATACATCTTTCTTTCCAGCACCCAAACCTCACTCAACCCACCTCCTCTGAGAGAGCCTGAGGAAAAGATTTTATACCATGCTCCAAAAGGCTGAGGAGTAAGTCTGTGCTGGGCAAAGGGACCATCTGAATATGAGCTGGTACCAGCAATGAAACCCTTTGTGACTGCAATCATAGTAGAGGTTCCAGGTTTTGGCTCATTATCAGGGTCCTACCCACCATGCAATTGGTGTAAGTGCGTGGGGATTGCCACTACTGCTGTTGAATTTGTGGTGTAGGTAGTACCACTCACGTTATTAGAATAGCTTTCTCCAGTTTGTACTGGAGACTGCATGCTAAGATGTGGTAGCATCTGTTTGGATTTTCACTGCGTTGTTTGAAAGTCTAAGGTCTTATCAGAATTGTTCTTGCATGCTGAAACCCTTGCATTGTAGACCACAGTCTGGACAGTGGGTTTTTTTCAGGTTTAAATATGATTTCATATGAGCAGAAGTTGTCAGTATGGCACTGCAGTTTTCTCTTTAGGCTCGCTTTTTCCTTTGGTCGTTCTGTTAATTAACTGCTGCTGAGAAAGGAAAGTTGTCTATTAAGGGTTTGATACATCAAGGGAAGAAATCCTTTTACAACTCACTGGTATACACGTATGATGAAGGTGCATTAGATTTTAATCTAAATTTCATTTCCCTCCCCATGTTTTCCCTCTTCAGTCTGTTCTTCCCTCCTGTCCTTTTTTTGTCACTCTGTTTTCACTCCTTTTCTCCTTTCAATCCTTTTGAAGTACTGTTGAGCAGCGCTCCAGTTCTGGTTGAACCCTTCAGTCCTGTGGTACGAGACTAGAGCTCCAGCAGTTCTCATGTGGTGCTGCTGTACCAAGATGTCTTAACTCAAGTATTTAAGGAGATGTACTTTAGAATGTTTTCCTTGTGGTTTAATTATTTTTTTAATGGTTAGGGTTTTTTGTACTCCCATTTTACTGTGTGTTTTAACAAAATGAATCTGAAATGGAACAAAACGCCATCGTCTAAAGGAAGATGCTGAGAATTATGAGAGTTATTTATGCTGACCGTTATTTAGTGAATAACTGTTGTGCTCGGGATCATCCTAGTTAAGGAAGTATTCACTCTCATGAAAAAAGGTACAAGCCATTCAAAATAGAAAGAAACCAAACCTAGTTAGAAGAAAGACAAGCATGCACTGGGTACCTGCCATGGTCAGAAATTTGCTGAATTTACTGCAAGGTCTGCCATGGGAAAAGTTATAACATATTGTTCTTTTATTGTATTTTATGCTTTTTATTAACTTGCAAATCTAATTAGGAAACCAATTGGCACACAGTTTGCAATGACGGAAGCAGTACCACCTATTCTTGTGGCAACCTTGGCTTTGCTTTATGGGTGGTCTTTGTTCTTAAAGGCTTATATGAATACCACATATTAGCTTAGCTGGTTCTCCCTTGATGTCTGTGTTGTATTGTACACATGTTGTCACTGTTTGACACTTAAACAATCCAGATTCTTACCCAGCCCGTATTTAGTGCCATAATAAACTTTGAGCATATGTTTTGGAGAGCAATAGTAACATTCATCACTGTAATGTGACATATAAATAAGCACTACTGGAGAGTGTACATGCCTTCAGAGGGCAGAGCTGGACAGGAAGGTGTGTGCCAAAGGGATGTGGTCATCTGCCTTGCCCCTACTGGGCATTTTTCTTCTTTGCCTTGTTTCAGTAAATCAGAATGGTTATTGACGTGACCTACAAAATTCGCCCTCTACATATGAAAAACACACGTTGTTACAAAACTTTGCTAGTGAAACATTTCCTGTTTGGGGCTTTGGCTTGACAAACAGTAGGTGTAAGGCATAAACCATTCCTCCTCTCTTCATCTCACTTGCTCTGTCTTTCAGCAGGGAGCTCTGTGGAGGCCTGGTCTGAAGCACTGGTGTGGCAGATGTGGTGTACCAACGCTTCCTATTCCTGTGAGTCTCCTGTTGTTTTTACAAAATTCTTGTATTTGAATGGTTTTGTTTCAGTTTTGGGTTTTGTTTGTTTGCAGTACTTTTTCTATTTTGAGGTGGGTTTTTTTTGAGGTGGTTTTGGTAAAAATTAAGGGGGAATCACATATGAAGGGCTTCAGGATTTGACTAGTTCCTTGTTCTGTCTGAGCAAGACTAGAGGCTTACAAAGACTAATGGCAGCACAACAGATTGAAAGTGTGTCCATATCCTGTTGAGTAAACACATTCTGATTCAACAAGAGCTTTGTCTGAACAAGGACAGAAAAGTTGAACCTTGAACAAGGAAATAATTTATGTAAGTCTTAATGAATATGTAACGTGGAACGGTAATTATAAAAAAGAGGGTATCTATTTTGATGGTCTGCCTTTAAGTGACAGATCACCTAGTGTCTCCTTGGCCTGAGGAGGACCATCAACTTGCTAATTACAGATGTACATCAATCCAATGAGAGTATTCTCCCATTATACCGATAGCTCTTTAAAGAAACAGATGTTACAGATGAAAAAGAGTAAATATGTGTAAAACTGAAATAACAGAAAAACCATCTGCTTCTATTGCTTTGACTAATACTTGAATTTTGTGTTGTTCAATATCACTGAATGCAAGATAATTATTAAATAGAGCAGGAAGCAGAAACTTCTGAGAGCTGGTTGTTTGTTATAGAAACACAATGGTTAAGATAATATTCTTGTGTGTTGATGTAAAGATCTTGGTTGTTCCTTGTGCTGAAGTAGTATTTCTTTGAAAATAAGTGGCTTTTCTGAGGTAGCCTTTCTGCTCTGTACCTGTATGCTCTTCCACACTCTTGGACCATGTGAAAGGAGTCCCCTGCAAACTTGTTCACATCTCTCATGAGTGAGGTGGCTTTGCAGGTAAGATGCAGCAGATGCAGAGCAAGCTTCTACCACAGTGAAAACTTAAAAATGAAAAAAAAACAAAACCTACACAGCATATTCCAGCACTCAAACCCAGCTCATGCTACGAACTGAAACGAAATAAAGGTGAAGCTGCTAGGTGTTGTCACAGTACCAACAATGCACACGTCTATTTTAAGACAAACTCTCAGTTTCTTATGGCAAAATACACGTGTGCATCAGCAATGGGTCCTACTTGAAAAGTGGGATTTTTTCATTTCTGACCTTGGTTTGAATTTTTTTCACTGTCCTCATTAGGAAAATGAGGACTAACACTGTTCACCCTTCTGCCTTTCCCAAAGTACAAGCGTTTGTGGCAGTATCTAGGCCTGGACTCTCTGCCCTGATTTCATGCTCTGCATATGTGCACGGCGTGCAAGAGAGCAGAGAATGCATTTGAGAATAAACTGTGTTAGCTCTCAAAGAGAGATTTTAAAGTTTTAATGTTATGGTTGTCTAATTTGATATAGTATCTGGTCATTGAATTGTATCATTGCAAGAAACATGAGAACAGCAGCATGACCATGAGGTATATTGTATTACAGAATGAGGTTACACAGCACCAAAGCACCACCATATTTCAGTAACAAATGCAGCTTCTGGGGAGTTTTGTGATCATTGCATAAGCTTCACTGCTCCCTAGAAGATGACACTGATTCAGACAGAAAACACTAATTCAGTTCTTGCCAGCAGAGCCAATTGTCTCTCTGATTACATTAGACTGACAACTGGTTTTCAATGTCATTGTCAGCCACAACTTCTCATACATGGTGCAGTGGAGCATGAACCAGACTGCCTTTATTTAATTATTTTTGCCCATTTCTGTATTTGTGAATAAGGCAAATGTGAGGCTCTCATCTAGCAGATAGAAAAATGTAGGTGTTCACATTACAAAACTCAGGCTTTGACAGTGGTGTCTGGCATTTTTTAAAGGCAGATCCTGAATGTCTGTGTCATTCTGAAGAATGAATTTGAAACTATATACATGTTTGTGTTTTTTTTTTAATGTTGGTTGACTAGAATTGACCTAGGATTTTCTTGATTAAATAATTATAGCATTAAAAGATTTGCTGAATATTTTTTTTCTGAATTAAGTTGTGATTGAAGACTGCATGTGAGTTTCCCATTGCGGGCACTTGCGGTTTAAAGTTTGCCTTGTGTTGGTTGGTGTCATTTGGGCATGCAAGCCTTGTGGTCCATGCTGTGCCACGGTTTGGATGAGCATGAAGCTCAGTAGACGTCTCTCCAGCACAATGCAGGTCCGACAGTGGTCCATGCCAGTGCTCCTGCACTAAGCTGCTGCAGCCGTGGTGAGGGTATGGCAATGCAGAGCATAGTGCATAGGAGCCGGCAGGCAGGCAGGGTAAGAAGGTAGGCTCCAATCTGCATGTCTTTCAGCCAGCACGTGCAGTGCATTGGCTCTGTGTGATCAAACCCGGTGTGTCCAGCCAGATCTGTTGTTGTTTAACAGAGAGCTTGTCTTTTCTGGTGTGTCACAACAGTGGTGGGCTGACACCCGTTTCCTTCTTTGCAAGTAGACTCTGGACAGCTGAGACATAGCCCAGTCACAAGCCATCCATAGTGCAGAAAACATCATGTTCTCTGCATTGTCGCCCAGGCTGTGGTTTGTTGTGTTGTCTGGAGCACAGGACTTCCAGTACAGCTCTGCTGTACTTACAAGCACATGTCTGCAACCAGCCTCTTCCCTTCCCCTCTGCTTCCCTCACATGTCATTCCATGAAAGGGGGATTTAGGGAACTGGGAGATTGCTGCAGGGGTTCAGGGGCAGGCTGCAGAGATGCTACTCTTTTGTGCGAGTTTTTTCTATGCCCCCTTTGGTCCTTGTTTCCTCTCAGCAGAAAAGGGATAAAGTGGGGGGAAGCATTTTTACTTTTTAAAAATCTTTTTATGCACCTTTTCATGAATAAAGATTTTTTTTTTTCCTTTTAATGCTGTTAGGGTTATAAATGTATTGTGAAAAATTTCAACTATATTTTTTAAAATGGATCTTGTTTCTTGAGGAGCTGTGGGCTTAAGAAAAGCAAGAGATTGATAATAAAATCTAGAGAGGTAATAGCAGTGAAGGTTGCTCTGCCAAATAATACGCTGTTAAAACAGTATTTTTGCATGAATTTTATACGTGTTTATTAAAAATACCCCAGAATGTCTTAGAAAAGCAGGTAGTCAAGGAGGAAGCTCCACAAGCTCCCAGTAGCTCTGTGAAAAGCAGCTCTATGAAATAGTTGCTGCCAACTCTTTGTGAATCTTCCGTGCCTGCAGAATAAGAGATTTATGTTCTTCATAAACGTGTATCCTTCTATTTCTGAATTCTCTTCTACTGCTCCCATTGCCCAAAAGTCAAACAAAGCTAACCTCCTCCAGGTCCCAGAGTGAAAAAATGCAAACACACTGCATTTAAAAGTAGATTTAGCAACTCCAAAGTGGGCGATTTGGTTCCACCCATCAAACCGGAGTTCTCTGATCTAAAGTCAGATGGGTGCTACTCCTAGCGAGTTGTGTGCCAAATCTAATTAAGCTTTGCATGATGTGCATCTTGGGTGATTTGATTTATTAGCTTTGTTTGAAGAAAGTAATAATAAAAAAAGAAAATGGCTTTGGTAATAAGCTGTTTGAATTCCCTGTGCAAGTAGGCACAGTCCCTCCTGGATCTCCCTGAAATGCTCTTGAGGTGCACAGGTTACTGATGCAATGCTGGGAGCTGGTGCAAAGAGGGTGTTTGATCTGAGATCCCATCTCCCTTGCTCTTCTGGCTTCTGTCTCAGCATAGGTGCTCAAGTAGTCCCTACTGTATATAATGATTCCGATTTTCACAATGACCTTAAACCCCAGGAATGTATCATTTATCTCCATTTGTACCACAGGAACCTAGTGTACAGAAAGACTAGAGATGGCTGTTGCGTAGAGCAGCAGATACCCACATTAGAACTAAGCATTGGAGTTCACAATTGGAAAAATAGTCCCAGTGCTAGTGTAGCAAGGTTGCTTTTGATAGCTAAACCAGCTCTCATGTATGTTAATTTGAAGTGTGCAGGGTCAACATGTCCTGCTGCCTAGATCCTCAGCACCTCAGGTTCTATTGATTCTCATGGGTCATTGTTGTTGAGAAAAATGACTGCTACTGCTGAACCCAGGACAGTCATGTTATGGTGGCTGGCCAAGTTATGGTGACTGGCCATTGTGTCATATCCTGTAGCCTTCCTGAAGCTGGGTCTCGCCATTGTAATGCTGGCTGTAGTGTCTTTTGTGTCTTGTGCTCCATGGATTACAGAGGAGGATTTCCTGCAGGGCTCCTGATAAAGCTAGCTCTTATTCTGGCAAGGTTCCTTTTTCTCCTCTAGCCCTCAAAGCACCAGCTCACAGGTCTATTGCCGCAAGACCAAAGACAAATCTGTGTTTGTGAATACCAGCACTGCACTGCTGGTGTTCATCACACAACATGGAAAGGTTTACTGGGAAATGACATGCACTGAAAATTGACAGATACTGCTTGACTGGCTGCAATAACTGCCCTAGAATCAGCTGGAAAAGCAGTTGCCTTGGGGTCAGGTCAACAGTGATATTTCAGCATAGAATTTGTGGTAGTTTGAATGTGAATAAGGGACAATAGGGCTGGGGACTCGGATACTAGGACCTCTTTTCCCAGTCATACTACTTAGCTATAGCAGGCACAAAAACATGATCAAGTTTTGCACATCTGCAGCTTCTACTCAGTGATTGTTAATTATTTCCAGAGAAAATGTCTGAAAATCTTTACATTTACAGTGATGTTGAGGACTAGCAGTTCACAGTGCTGTTGTGTTATCCTGGGGTAGAATGAACTACTTTAAGACGCTCTACTCTAGTAATGTTCTTCCTGGAGTATGAAGGGAAGTGATGTATGTTTATCTTTGCTCTTTTCAGGGTGATCTCTTAGAAATTTTCAAGGGTTATTGCTGCTTAAAGTTCAGAAAGTGGGAATTAGTAGGTGTCTGTCTCTTCAACAGCGCTATTTCGTGCTACTGAGTCGATGCAAATAATACAAACACTGTCAGCATGATTTGATGAAACATTACTTTTTTATGTTTTTTGATTTATGTTAAATTTGAAAAATCACTCATTTTGAAGAATATTCATAGAGCACAATGCTTAAATACAAATAATTTTTGCATTTTAGTCCTTTGTGTGTTGAAATATTCGACATGATTACTCTGAAAAATCAAGCCTTGAAATGTCTTACCAGCTTTAATAGCTAGAAATAAGCCTCTTTTCCTTTTATTGTACTACCATATAAAATAAAAATACACTTTTATTTCCACTGGAAAACTAGAAGTGCGAATGACAATACATGGTTTAGCAACAATTTTAAGTGAGTTAAAATTAACACAAATTTGAGTTCTGCCAAAACTCTCTCACATTTTTAATCATGATAATGTTAATAATCATGTTAATTTGTTGGGGTGTTTGGGATTTTTACTTTCTTGATCAAACATACAGCTGAACCTTGTGGTGGAGACATTCACTTAAAATAATGATAGTAAGCAAACATCAGTAAATATGCATAGAAATGTTGAATACATACACTTACTGGAAAACTATTCCTAGCATTTCACTTCAGCCAAGCAGCAGAAACAAGCTATGGAGCCTCTTGTAGGTAATCAACATGGTTTGAATTTCGAATATTAAAATATTCAGAATTTACTTACAGATCTTTAATACCTCCCAGAACTTCTCTGACACTTCATTCCAAATGCCATAACAGGGGGAAAGGGAAATTAATTTGTTTGCCAGTCATTTTTTTGTCAGAGACAGATGGAAAATGGTTCATTACGGAAAATTCCCACTCCTGTGCAGCTAGATATGACATGAATGTTTGAGGAAGAAATGAAAAAGGTATTTATGTTCTCCACAATATCAATACTTTGTGACAGTGGCCATTTATCTACTCCAGCTGCCCAATG